CACTTAGCCAAGCACTAATGTAGGTGGGTTGTTGTGCAAAACCTTTCCCTAAGTTAACATCTTCCAAGGGGTCTTGTATCTGAGAACTTACTAATGCTTCTTTTTTGATTTCTTCTGTCTTCGAAGCAATTTCTTTGCATTTGTTCTGCTCCTAATTCCTTTGATTCAACATCTTTGCCCTCCTCCTCATAAAGAAAGTCTGTCCATAAGGCTTCTTCTTCTTGTATCTCCTAGACTTTTGTTTCGATGTCCAACGCACAATATTTATCAAAGGCCAAAAACCTGACATGTTGCTGCTCCTGTTTATAGCCAACTACCATGGCTTCTTTCTCTTACTCTTGCACCTTCTAGACTATTGATTCTATGTCTAATACTGAGAATTTAATTAAAGCCAAAGATCTGGCCTCCTGGGTTCCATCTTTTTGCCTACAACCAAGCATCATTGTCATCCCTGGCGACAAATTCTTCATCAGCACTTTCTTGGACTAAGTGCTTCAGGTGTGCTAATTCCTCATCAGTCGTCACTTCGGCTAATCCATCAGGTTTTCTGAGTATACTGAGTGGTGTCACTCATTCAATATACAATTTGGCCTTTGCAAAGTCTGCACAAGCTATGAAGGGTTGAAGGTCTGCATTGATCTCCTCTGTCTCTCTATTGCCCAAGGCCATCATTATCTTCTGATGTAGAGAGAAAGGCACACATTTGTTGGCGTGAATCCAATCCCTACCAAATAGAGCATTATACTTAGCATTGTTGTCAGTAACGAAGAATGCCATCATGCAATCCCTGGTTTCCACACTCAGGTTGATGGGAAAAATACCCTGAGCCATCTGTTTGTCTCTAGCGAAACCAGCAATGGTTGTGCTGGTTGGGATTAATCTGGGGTTCTTTTTCCCTAGTTTCTTCAAATAAGATTTCAGAATCAGGTTTACTGCTGCCCCATTATCCACCAATACTCGGTTCATCTGTATCCCATCAAAGAAGGCCTTGATATACAAGGGTTTGACATGCTGTGTCATGGATGATGTAGGATACTCAAAAGGGTATGAGAGGTTAATACTCACATCTTCCTCACTCTCATCTTCAGTTTCCATTGGTGTGGCCACTTCGGATTCGTCTTGCACCATACTAACCTGTGAGTCTTCACTAGAATCTGGAATTGGGTCAGTCTCCTGACCTTCTTGGTTCTCTTCTTTAACTTGGAACTCCTGTGGTAGTATATGCACCATATTTACTGACATTGGAGGAAACGAGCCAAATTGAACCACTGGCTGTTCCTGCTTCTTTTCCAAGCCAACTTGTTCAATTACTTCAGAAACATCTTCCATGCTACATTCTGGCACTTCAGTACCAATAACTTCCTTTGAATGGTCTATTTCTGCTGGTTTTCCAACCAAAAATGCCTGTTCAACCATGAAGGCTTCAAACATTTCCTCCTCAATCATCACTTTCCTTTGGCCTAGGCCAACTTCTCCCTCTGTCTCACTATCGCTCTCCATCGAAGCCCTTTCCAATCCAGCTAAACTAGATCTTTCTTTGGCTTTTAGCTCGGAGTGAACTTTGGTCGACTGCTCTTTGCCGCAACTCCTTTTGTCTTGATTTTGTACTATGATCTAACTTTGGACTTTTCCTTCTCTCTATCTGGCCCTTTGGCTAGACCAACGATGAGCTTCCCCCACTTTCTTTCAGATCCTTCTGGTACTAAGTGTACCTTCACTGGATCTTCCTCCTTTGGGATCTAGAAATCACTGGGACCATGTTTGGTTCCTTTGTTTTTGGATGCTTTAGTAACACCTAATTATTTGGAGCCACCAAAAGAGGTTTAACCATCCTACCCTAGTTTCCAACAACACTCCTTTGGGTAGGTATTTCCTTAGGTTTGCTTTGCATGACAAACTAATCTGGAACCTTAGGCACCCATGAATCCATTAGTTCGGTTGTCGAACTGTCTCTTTCTTCCTTCGACGCTAGTTTCAAAACTGCCTGTGAAGGCTACTACTTGGCCTTGATTCCCTGTTTTGGGCCTAATTCAGGCCTTCCATGAAGGTGGCCACTTTCCATTTTGTGTGAGGCTGGTCTAGGGGGCCAATCTCTGACTTTGATCCCATAACTTGAGCCCACTTCAAGTCTCCTCTCAGGATGATTGCCCTCCATTCTGTAATAGCTAGGTGTTCTGAACTCATGTAGAGGCCTCTTGCTCTTGGAGTGCATTCTAGTGGCTATTGGCCCAGCCAAAAATGGTTGCTGCCTAGGACCAGTTGGATATGGCCTTTTGTTATAGGTATTGGTTGGTTTAAGACGCCTCTGCACATCCATGTAATAATGCTTCCCATCAATCGAGAGCCCTTTCAAACACTTATAGCTCAACCTGCACCTGGGACACATTCTTTGCATGATAGCTGCCTCCAAAGAGTCATCATCTAGTGCCTCCTCATCAGAGTCTTCCCTTTGGTCTGCAAAGCCATGTCTATCAGATGGTGAGCTTCTAGCCTCTTTTTTGACAGTAGTCTGGCTAGCAACATGCATTTGCACATTAACCTCTTCCAATTCCTTCAGGGATAAGTTCTGGAAGTCTAGCACAATAACATTGGCTGCAACTTCTCCAATTTATGGGAATAGATTAATGTCAATCCCCATAGCCTTTTCCGCTTTAGCTGGGAATTTTAAACTCCCCTTTCGAATCTGTTCTCGGATCTTGTCCCGAAAAACAATATAGTTTTTAGTTGAGTGAAACCAAGAATTATGCCATTTACAATACACTTTTCCTTTAAGTTCCTCTGGAGAAGGAATTTTGACTCCTTTTGGTAACTTTGGGAAGTTTGCCGCAAGCAAATAATCAAAAATGTCATCTGCCTTTACTAAATCGAAAGAATATTTCCTATGAACACTACAATAATAGTTTCCTATAACCACGTTTGTTAGACAACGTTTATTGAAAAACGCTGTGAAAGACATAAAATAAAATTAAAAGACACGCATTCCACTTTATAACGTGCTCTGTCTCCCTCAGTCTCTATTTCTCTTTCCGTCATTCTGCTTTCTCTCTTCATTTCTCTCTCTTCTCATTTTCTGTCACCGTTCAAGATCTAGGGTTTTCTCTGTCTCTCCTCATTCTCCTTGAGAGATTCACCAGGTTCGATTCTGATTACTTGTTCAGATCCATCGATTAGGAGTTCCATCAATTCAGATCCATCGATTCTTGAATCGATTTGGTTGTAATTTCTTGACGATTTTTTTTTTTATTCTGATTTTGATAATTTTGTAGAGGAAGATAGGCCAGTTGAGTGAAGAAGGATCGGGATCGAGATAGGGACCAGGATCGAACTCGATCGAGTCGCAACAAGAGGAGGAGAGAAGATGGGTTGATTCACGAGAGTAATAGAGAAGATGATGGTGAGGATAGTTCAGAGAAAAGCGTGAATGATGAGGAGGACGATGACGATTATGATGGAGTCGCCACCGCATTGCCGACCTAGGGTTTGATTGAAGCTCTAGGGTTTTAGAGCCCCTCGAGACTAGTCATGGCTACTCCATTTCACCTGTCCGTCACTGCTGCTCAGGTCCTCTCTCTCTCTCTATATATATATATATATTCACTCTCTCTCTCTCTAAAAAGATAGGTCTTTGGATTTCAGGTTGGGACGTACTTTGTTGGACAGTATTACCAGGTACTTCAGCAGTAACCAGATTTTGTTCACCAGTTTTACAGTGACACCAGCACTATGCTTCCAATTGATGAGAACTCAAGAGAGACAGCCATGGCAATGCTGGTATTGTCTTTTAGATTCTCTCTGTATGTTTGTGAGTGTGTGTATGTACTTGAATTTATGTATTTGAATTATAATTGAGGGTAGATTTCCAACAATCAAATGATGAGAACTACACTTTTGAAGCAGGGAATGGGCTTTTGTTGTCTGTCATGCAATTCTGGTATCAAATTTACTGTTGTTTTGCTGAATTATACACAAATTTGTGGAAATGTCCAACAATCAAATGATGAGAAATTCACCTTCTTCTTTTTTTATTATTTTTTATTTTTTATTGTATTGAATTGTATTCACAACAGCTATAAAGTAAGGTAATTCAATGATTTTAGATGAAGAAAAAACCTTTTGGCTTAATGTGGAATGAACAATTGGATTTATCTATAAGGGGAAGCCTAGGCATCATTGGTTGGGTGCATTGCCTAAAAAGAAAGTTACAATTTTCAGGTGGAGTAGGACAAGGAGTTAAGGGATTGCCGAGTTTTTTTTATTCTTTAAATTAAATACAGTTACTTATATAAGGTTGTGATTGTAGGAGAACTAAATTTATAAAGTTTTGCCACGCCATATTGATAGTTTCTTATCTTTTTGAGGGGTCAAACCTCCATAATGGGTTCAAAACTTGTAAATATGTTTCTGTTAGCTAAACCTATCTGCAATGTTAAATCAGATAATTTTTATCATAGTTTTCATGGAAAAAAAGGGCCTGGAGACGGTTTATTCGTTACTTTTGATTCTTTCACCCTTCATAGTAACCAGGCTTAAAAAACTCTGAATTTGGAGTATTACAAATATTCTTGGTGTTTGCTTATTTGTCAAATGAGCTTAATGGTCTCTCGCTCTTCACACGCACTAGTTCTTATAATTGCTTATTCTACATTAATAATTGCAAAAGACACTTGTTTGGACCAGATAATAAGTGACCAGTCCATAGGCACTAGGCAGCAGGAAGGACCTACTTGTAATAAATAAAGAATCACTCTCTTAATTATGAAGTTGCAGCCATAGAGTGAGACCTAAACTAAATTTGGTTGTGGTTGAAATTGAAGTGGTGTATTATTGATTCATATATAGAGCGAATTTGGATCGCGTATTAATATTTTTTGACTAACATTTTGAATAAATATTTTAGATATGTAGTATTACGGTTTGTGTATACTAAATTCTTAAAAATTGTTGTGATATAGGCATATTTTGGGCCAAGAGGAGAAAATCTAGAGTTGTATTTCAGTGCAGTCAGCTCTAGCCTTCTTAAAGACGCTCTAAATGTAAGTCCGATAGTTAAAACAAATGTTGGGTGAAACAAGTGTAAAAATTGAGCTTTGAATTTTTTTCATCAATGTTATAACTGTGTTCATTTTTTTTTTTCTTTTTTTGAAACATTAGACAAAGAGGGATAAGATTCAGAGGCTACTCGGACAAAGGGAGGGCATAATCATCAAAGCATCTGAAGAACAAATTAAAGCCACGACACACCATGAGGAAGGTGGTGGCATATGGCCATTTGGTGGCTAATCTAAACACACATTTAATCTGTTTAGCAAGCACCCTTCCCAATGGAACCAGTAAGGACAATTCAGTCTCATTTATATCTATCCATTCTTATAGCCCATAAGTTAGAGTGAGGATCCTCTCCTTGCAGCTTCCGTGCTTGCGCCCGTCCTTGCAGGCCTTCGGGTCTACTTTTAGGCCCAATTTTGATAATCCGAACCGTTCATATTTTATGATTTATTCAGTATATCATACCTGTAAAAAATCAAGTTGATCGGATATCAGAAAGCATATGTTCGAAAAACTGTTTATTAAATTCTTTAAAATATAGTGTTTAGTTCAATTTTTCAAATACATACTTTCTGATATCCGATCAACTTGATTTTTTACAAGTATGATATACTGAATAAATCATAAAATATAAACGGTTCGGATTATCAAAATTGGGCCTAAAAGTAGACCTGAAGGCCTGCAAGGACGGACGCAAGCACAAGCTTGCAAGGAGAGACTCTTGACTCAGTAAGTTAATATAAGAATGTCATTGTCACATTATTTACTGTCTTAAATTATGAGTATTGTTTTTTTCAATGGAAAATATTTTTTGTTAAAACAAACGGTGTGTAAATCATAATACAATCTTTATAAATTTCATAGTAACCGAATCTCATGTACTGAAACTGTCATTTTTATTAATTTGGTTATGTTGATGTAGGGATCGATGACAGCTCCATACTACAACTCAAGGGCCACAAAGATAGCTGTGGTGACTAATGAGAAAGGATACTTTGAGATGGCATGTCCTCACTTGTCCTCTTCGGAGTCCGGTGGCACCGGCAGCAGCAGAGGAAGGCATGAAGGGGTAGAGGATTGCACCAGCAGCAATGCAAGAGTAGTGGCCCAAGGTACCAGAAAGTGAGATGCCGCCTGAGCCGTGGTGTGGTGTTTATCATTCCCCCCGGTCGCCCAATCATCACCATCGTTTCCAAGAATCAAAATCTGCAAATTGTCTGCTTCGACGTCAATGCTCTGAACAATGAGAAATTCCCTCTTGCAGGTAATTAAAATTTTTCTCGGGCTTTCTCACTAATTGATATTTCTTCTTTTATTAATGTTATGTACCTAAAAATAAATCATACATGATATGTGCTGAATTTAGTTTGCTTCTCTTCTTAATTTGAGCTAAAAACTACTTTGATTCCTCTTTTGGTGTTAATTGCATGCTAATTTGAAGAAATTGAGTTGGTTTTGCTATCCAATTCATGCTCTTCCAAAGCGTTCCTCACAAAAGCTTTGAATTTCAGTATACTTTATCTCATTGTAGGTAGTTTCACTCTTTCTTCTTAATATGAGATAAAAGGCGCAAATTGTTCGTACATAGTTAAGAATTTACTGGAACAGGTACGATTGAAAGCAAGCGAGGAAATGCTTTCTGAGTTCCTTCGATCTGGCACATCTTTGAACTTATTGAAGCTTGAGAAAGAAGTCCTGCTCTGCTGCCCTATGTTAAGCAAAGTGAGTTGACTCCGATTCCTACCTCTAGCCACACTATATTCTTTCTATTGAGTAATTTGTTAAATTTTATGCTAAATTTTCTTATGTTTTTGTCATCCTCTTTTAGTTACATAGTTGTTTTAGTTACATAGTTGTTAATGTTTGATTTCATTGTCCTGTTGGCCACATTCTTTGGTTTGAAGCTTTCCATTGTTTTTGTCAAACATTATCATTGTATGTGGTTAGTAGTTACTGATTGAATTGAACTGAAAGTGCAGGACATACGTGGGAATGATGTACCTTTGAGAAATTACAATGGGAAGGTTGTTCTGATTGTGAATGTTGCTTCAAAATAGCAAGTGACTTTATATATCCTAGTTAGTCAAATCTATTATATTTACATGGTTAATTTGCCTCTTCTTCTTCTTCTTCTTCTTCTTCTTCTTCTTCACTATTCTCTTTTGATAATCATTCATACTAAAACTTTTTTTTTTTTTTTGTCCTTGCTGTTAATTACTTTGTCTGCTTCCTGGGAGCTGATTGTGCACAATTGATCTTTGGGCCATATTCTTCTTCTTTTATTTCCCTAGGAATATTTAGAGCTCTTTGGATTTATTCATAATGCTACTTCTTTCTTGAAACTTACTTAGTTGTTTGGCATATGACTTCTTGTTTATTGTTTGTTTGAGTTTACAAAGATAATATAGACTACAAAATTCTTTTAATCATATTAAAGTTGTTCAATTCAAACTAACATAAACTTTTCTTACCTTTTTTGGCTCTCTTTTGCAGTGGCTTAACACAATCAAACTATAAAGAATTTAACATTTTGTATGAAAAATATAAAAATCAAAGGTCTGTTAGTTATTCAACTCCAGTTATTTGTGTGTTTCCTTTCTATAATTTCAAAGAGTTTGAGGGGTCTTAATATTAGGAATAATGCAAAAAGGTCGGAGGCATGCTTTTTATGTTTCCATGAATGTCTCATTTTAGCATCGTTTGTTTCCTTAGCATGGTTGTCAATATTACTAAGCTATACTGATAGTTCACTACTAATGGAGAGTAAAACGGAGTTGGTTGAAAAAAACGGAAGATTAGAATTTTAGTTTATTTGTGAATTTTAATTTATTAATGAAGTTGAATTTATTTAGAATTTTATTTTTACTTTATATTTAAATGAGGGGTTTTGGTTTTCCTTATTTGTTTTCAATTGTTGTTTTTTTCAGTGCCACTATTTTTTCAAAGCTGGATACTCATGATCATGTCATTGGCAAGATGGAACCAAATTATTGATGCTTGGATTGATGGAGTTTAATGATGGTTTTATAAAGATGTACTTTGATGATACTTTTTGTATGAATGATTGAGATAATTTTTATGCACTATTTCCCCATCTCCATATAATGTTTTATAGATGTGTTGATTACAATATATTGAATATATAAAAATTGTGATCCTGTTTTATGCTATATTTAAAGTTACGTTCTTAGTTAAATTCTTTGACCTTGTGGTGTGTTATGCAGAATCAGTACCCCACACCCATCCAAAAAAAAAAAAAAATTAAAAGTGGCGTTTTTTGAAAAACGCCACTAAATGATGGCATCATGACATCATACGTTATTTGTGACGAAAATGTAAGTGGTCATTAAAGTTTTGCGGCGTTTTTAAAAACACTTTTTAGCGACGTTTTTTAAACGTTGTGAAGCTATTACGGCGGCTGTATCAGCGATGAAAATATTAAACGTTGCTGCAATCTTTTATGGCATTTTTCAGGCTTTTAGCGGCGTTTTACAAACGCTGCTAAAACTCAAATTTCCTGTAGTGGAAGGTCTTTCTTTTTAAATTGCTGGTCTATTGTAGTGTCTTTATGAATTAATGTCTCACAGATCACAGACTCTTTCTCTATGATCTCTGCTCTGTTGCATCAATCTCATAATTAGGATCTCTATAATATGTCTTATATGATACATTACTTCGATCTTGTTCTTCCTCTAGTAATGATTCATACCTAGACACCTTATAGGTTAACTCCACTAAGTCTCGAAACGCAGTTGAATCAAACTTCTTTCGAAGCCTAAACTCTAAGCTATTTTGAGTAAATCTCACAAATTCAGGCTTTGGAAGAATGACTCTACACTTGTTTCGTGCTCTTTTAAATTTGGCAATAAATTGAACAGCCATCTCATCAGGCTTTTGACTCAACCTTACCAAGTTTGCCATGGAAACTTCTTGCTCCGTTTGGAAGAATTGGGCATGAAATGCCTCCTCCATCTGTTGCCAAGTTTGGATAGAGCCAGGTGTAAGGTTAATATACCATACAAAAGCTGCCCCAGTTAGAGAATTTGGAAAAAGTCCTAATTTCATGTAATCATTATTGGTAAACTCACTACATTGGGCAGCGAACCTAGCAATGTGTTATACTGTGGACTGGTTTTCGTTCCTATAAAAAAGAGCAAAGTCTGGTATTCTAAACCCTCTTGGGTATTCATGTACCCTATCTACCCATTCTGGGTATGGTTTCCTATATGCAAGAGTTTGAACCTCCCGAGCCATAGGTCCACACATTTCTCTAACAATATCAGTAATTTGGTCTCGAGGGACCATATTTTTGTGCTCGTTGAACCACCACTGGAGGAGCAAACACAGGATTTGGTGGAAAACCTTGTGCCTGAGGTCCTTTTGGTCCATAGGGAAGTATATTTGGGATTGGTTGTCCCTGTGGTACTGGCTACTGTTGAGGGTATGGTTGACCTCTCTGAGCCTGTCCTGCAAAAGGACTTGCGAAAGGTGCTGGAATAGGTGTTGTGTTTTTTCCAGCCGTAGGAAACCCTTCCAACCTCCCAGGTACAAATTCGAATAAAGGATTAGTGAACCCCCTCGTGCCAGGTATGGCTTCGAACATGGGATTTTGAAAATATCCTTATGCCATTTTCTTGTGTTGGCCCAGATCCACCAATTTGCATGATTTCACTGTTAAGTAATGAGGCATTTTGATTTGTCATAGGCCTCGAAAGAGGCTCATACCAAGACTGAGGTGATGATATTTCATAGTTTTGATTACTAGTTTGACCATTAGTATATCCATTATTTTGCATAGGTTGTTTATCTCTAGTCAATCTTTGCTGAGGGACATTTGAAATTTCCTCTATATGCTTTGTATTAGTTGGTTGATGGGTATATATTCGATCCATAAAGGATATTGTCCATCTTTCCACTGAGTTCATTAACTACTATCCCATGGCATCTACAAGGCCTCCCCATAGATTCATTGGCTGAGTAGATGGAACAGAGAATGGTCTAACTCTATGGCCTCGTCCAATATTTTGAACATGTGGTTCTTGCTCCGAAGTGCTGGTCTGTTCGACCATAGGTTCTGATAAGACAGGTACTTTCACAGGATGTGTTATCACATTATCCTCTAGATTAGGTATTTCTACCTCTCCTTCCACGCCTTCTTCCAAGCATTCATTTTCTCATTGTCTCCTATGTCTAGCCATTTCAAGAAGTCCCACTAGGCGTGCCAAAGGCTTTCAAAGGTTAGTATTGTAATTTTAAATGTGCTGGTAAGGATCAATCAGTCCTTGCAGAAGATTAAGTGACAACCAATTATCAGATGATTGTGTTTCAGTTCTTTCAGTCTCAATGAAAAGGACTTTTACTAGTGGTTTTGTTTAAGAGAATTTAGCAAACAACAATTAAATGAAGAACAGTTGTAGCATTTCATTAAGTAAAAATGAAATAAACTTACAATGATCTAATTCAGCCTCGTAGAGGTTTACAGCAACAAGCTACTTGGAACTACTTCTATGAATGAAGTGCAGAGTAGGAATTTGAAGTACAGAAATGTAAAGAACAAGAAATGTAAAAACTAGAAGGAAAATAAAGTAAATAAAAACTGGTTTCTGGATCTAGGCTTAGGGGCTCTTTCTAGGGCCTTCTCTGCTATTTGTACTTCTTAATGATAACCGTTGAAATGAGTTTCTAACCGTCGAATCATCCCTCTATGATCGCTGATCATGTTTCCTCACAGTTAGCTCCACTACGCCATATCTGCAGTTAGGCTTTCCTCCTGATTTTGAATTTGAATATATGAGTAACTGTTAAAATCACGTCATCTTACATCTCTTTACTGATCCAGTGCTATCTAGATCTATAATAACCAATACTAACTGCCACGTGTGTGATTACGATTGAAGATTTAAATTGTCTTCACGTATTACCCTCATCCTGTTACGTGTTGAACTGTGATTGGCCTATACAAAATATGTAGCCAACAACCATGTAAAGGCGCTGTTTTGGAAGTGCCCACAGAGGCTATTATAGCCTAAAAAAATTTTTTAGCCAAAAAGCCACTTTTGCAAGCTTTTTCAAAAAAAAAAAAAAAAAAAAAATTTTATACTCTTATCAATGTGAATGTTAACATGTCAATGTGAATATTCACGTTGTCAACGGACCGGGACCGCCCCGGCTCGCGGGCGGGTTTCGGGCCGCCCACGGGCCAATTTTACATTTCTACCAATGTGAATTTTAAAATATGAATGTTCACATCATAAAATTGCTAACCGTTTAAAAAATATTTATAAGGGTATCAAAATTAAATATAAGGGCATAAGTGTCCAAGAAAATAGTGTAAATCAGGAAAAAGGACTTTATGGAATAAAACTATACATACATGGGACTTAATGGGTTAAAAAATTATTTCATGGACTTCTTGGGTTAAAACACTTCTAAATGGGATTTATCAATAATTTTCCCATGATTTTTTTAGTAGGTTTTTGATTTTTTTTTTTTTTTTGACTATTTAACTTTTTTAGCCTTAGACTAGAAAGTTCAGTTGTATGGATATTTTTTTTTTATTTTTATAAAAAAAAAATAATAATTATAATTTGAATGTAAAATTTTATCTTAATAATTTTTTAATTTATTTTATTTTTTAAAAATTAATTTAGTCAAAATAAAATTAAAAAAAAAAACTCATTTGCCGAACGCTCTCCCACATGTTCCCCTAGTTTGTTCGCAACGCAATGCTGTCAAACAGAGACAGGTAGGAGCGTGGTCTTTCCTCAACTTGACAAAGACGCGTCTCAGAGTGCCGTTGCTTCTCTGTTCAAAAAAAAAAAAAGTCCCGTTGCTTCTCTCTCTCTCTCTCTCTCTCTCTCTCTCAAAAGTAATGGTGAGCTTTTCAATTTTGAAATACCGCTAGCACATATTTTCAGTACAGCTGACGGAGATTACTTGTCTTTAAGGGCTGGTTTGGTATAGATTATATAATTCATCTTTTTATCTTTTTATTTTTTTTTCATCACATTACCTCTCTATTTTTCTACACATCTTTTTGTAAAAAGATAAAAAGTGTACTTTTTTAGGACACCTCAAACCAATCCTTAATTTCATAACAAATAAGTCTTTTTATTAATAAATTATCAAGTTAATTAACAATATTTAATAATGTTAAAATTTTATTTCAAATAATAATTCAGATAATTTTATTATTGTATAAGTGAACAGTTAGAAACTTCACATTCTCAATTAATTCTGTAAAATGAAAAATTTTGACAAAAAAAATATTTTAATTTTTCAAATCATTAGAAACAATTCATATTTTAGCAAACATCTACAAGTATATTTGAAATTTAATTTTTTTTTTTTTTCAATCGAGGTACTCCATCACTTTAAACGTCACTATTGTATACATATTTACCGTAAAACACAAAACCTAAAGTAAGGCTAAATTTGACATCTTTCCAAAAAGATAAAAAGTCAAAAAATAAAAAAGTTATCACTATTTACCAAAAAAATATTAAAAAATTAATTTTTCACACAAAAGTACAACTCAGTAATCATGTATGTTCAGAACTGTGCAGTATTTATTAAGAAAAATTGCATAGTTTGGATACAATTTTCAGACACTGTTGTTCGGCCTGTGGGGGGCCATCACGGATCCCTTTTTGATAATTTGAACAGTTCAATATATAGAACTTGTCGAATACTATATGTCTATAGACAATCACATTGATCGGATATCGATAACTACATGATCAAATCAGTTTTGTATAAAAAAATGGATGGTGTTATAATTAATGATTGAAAAAAACAAATCTGATTAGATAGCTATCAATATCCGATCAACGTGATTTTTATAGATATATAATACTCGACGCGTTCTACACATTGAACGGTTCAAATTATCAAAATAGGACCCGTGATGGCCCTCACGGGCCAAACAAAACCTTCCAGTGCAATGCTCGAAAAGTAGCCAATAATTTCTTATAATCAATTCGGCTGTGCAGATTGTACGGCTGTATAACACGCATCTCTAATCTTCTCCTACACATTTCTTT